GAGGAGGAGGAGGAGGAGGAGGAGGAGGACGAGTCACGAGGAGGAGGAGGAGGACGGAGAGGAGGAGGACGGAGAGGAGGAGGAGGGCCCCCTCCGCCTCCAACTTATGGTGGTGGCGGTGGGAAACAAGCCCATCATGACCTGGACCACCGACCCAACTTGGCACCCTCCAGGCCCAGCGTCATCTTGCCCCCTGCTGACAAATCTCAGGTACTCCAAACCCCTTACTAACCGACCCCCCCTTAAAAACCGGACCCCTCTCCAAATGCGACCTGATATTCCGGACCCCCTCTTCGACGGGGCGCCTTAATATACCGGACCCCCTAAGCTCAAGTCGAAAGAAAGCGCCCTAATAAACCAGCCCCCCCAGTTACGAAAAAGCGCCTTAAAAAACCGGACCCGGGGGATGATTAACAAGAAATTTGGAGTGGGAAGGCCTGGGCTCGGGGGTGGCGAGGACAACCAGATGGAGGATCGGGGAGAACAGGTCGAGCAGGGAGGAGGCGCAGTGAGGAGGAGAAGAGCGAGGACCCTTCTGGAACCCGCACTCGGCGATTGGGCTCTTGATGCCAGGGGTGTGTTCCCCAAGTATGTTCCTAAGGGCCTCAGGGTGCCCAAACCCGTGGTGGGCCTCTCGAGGTCGCCATGCCGAGCACATGCATCAGCAGTAAGTGGCCGCAAGATCTGGCCCAATGCTTGACGTTGGCACAGACATCAGACGATGTGATTGTTTCAGTGTGCGGCCCCACAGGTCCCTTCCCCTTCCCAGCGGGTTGTCTTTCGACCCCGACCATGTTTGCTGGTCCCAGGGCCCGAGAATTGCCCCCGAAGGCCAGAATCGAGAAAAACGATCAGGTGTCATTGATAATATCGTCGGAGGTCTTGCATGTGTAGCCGTTCATGGGCCCCTTCGTGTATACATTGTTTAAAGAGTCCGTGCCATTTCCGTGCCACATCCGCGTCGCTGTCGCACCCCCTCAGCCGTTGTGCCTTGACGGCGCTAGGCGGCCCATGGCGTCGCGCGCCGCGGGAGGGCCGCCTGCCGCGCAAGCCGTGGAACGGAAGTGGAGCCGAAGTGGAACGAAAGCAAACGGCTCAGCGTGACTCGAAGGCTCCCATGAACGGCTGCACAATCTTTGGGGGGGGAAGGCACGACGTCGTGGGCCTAAGACATGTCCGTAGCCGCGGCCTCGCGGGCCGGGCCCGTGGGCCGGGACCCCGCGGATGCGTGCTCAGCCCTTCTTCGCGCAAGCGCCTCGCGGAACGTAGCCGCGCGGCCGCGCATCCGCGGGAGCGCGCCACGGAGGCCAGGCCGCGAGGGCGCGGATGAGGATGCGTTTTCTCGAGGCTGGAGCGGTGGGGGCGACGCCACTCGGGGGGGCGGCAGGTGGGAAAAACACACACACACACAATCTGCGTTTTTTCCCCACAGTCTGTGGTTTGTTCCCACAGTGTTTTTTCCCCACAGTGTTTTTTGTCCCTCAGTGTGTGTTGTTTCTCCCACAGCGTTTTTTTTCCCACGTGTGTGTGTGTGTGTGTGTGTGTGTGTTCCCACAGTGCAATAGTTTGCCTGCGCGGACTATTGCACGACCTCCTGCGCGAGTTGATGCCGTGGGCACGAGCCTCTGCCGGATGTGCACACGTTCGCCAACTCGTGCAGCGAGAAGGGGCGGGCCTTCTCAGAAGGCTCGAAAGTTCCGCGGCCTTCTGAGAAGTTTCCCAAGCCATCCCCGAAGACACAGAAAGCTTCTCAGAAGGCGCGAGGACTTCTGATAAGTCCCGCCGCCTTCTGAGAAGGCCTTCTCCCCAGACCCCCGACGTCATGTTCTTGTTTGTCGTTGTATGACGCGACCCCCAGAGGTATGGACCCTTTCCCCAGGACCGGTTTTTCATCCTGAGCCGTTTTATGACGGTCCCGTTGCCCGTGAAGGGCCCCCAGAGGCAGCACACAGCGATAAGTTTCCCGTCGTGATTTTGTTCGCAGCGCGAGGGGGTCTGGGTCCTTCTCACTTCCCCCCCCTCGCTCGCCGCCGAGTGGAGCGAGCCGCGGTGACGGCAGCTCCCTCGCCCGCGCGCGGGCGCGCAGGAGGACGCCTGCGCCGTGGCCCAGCGTGCGGCCTCGGCACAGGAGGGGGGCGCCTGCGCGCGGGCCGGGCAGAAGGGGGGGGGGGGGCGGGGGGGGGGGGGGGGGGAGTGGAAGGGGGAGAGGGAGGATAGAGGGAGAGGAGAGAGGAGGGAGAGAGAGGGAGAGAGAGGGAGAGAGAGGGCGCAAGAGAGGAGGAGAGAGGAGGAGAAGGAGGAGGAGGTGGAGGAGGAGGACTGCGGGCGGAGGAAAGGCTGGAGGAGCAGGATGATGAGGAGGAGGAGAAAGAGGAGGAGGAGGACTGCGGGAGGAGGGGGATGGGGTGGAGGGAAGGGGCCCTTTCTTCGTCGTCGTCCTCTTCTCTCATCGTCCCTCCCTCCTCCTTTCTTCTCCCCGCCCTGCTTCCTCGCTCGCACGGGGGGGGGAGGGGCGAGAGGGGAGGAGAGCGTTGATTTTCAGCTCGGCTCCGTGATTGTCAGCTCGGCTGCGTGATTGTCGCCCGGCTGAGTGCCATTGCATGGGTGTGTGCGTCGTCAGGGTGCAGGCCGTTGCGTTTGTAGGTGTGGCGGCATTTTCGGGCGCCAGAAGACACCGTAGACGCGCTAATGGCGTGCTAGCTAACGGCGGTGTAGGAAAAACAATTGTAGGAAGGCGTGGTCCGTGGTCAAACCAATTGTAGGAACGCGTGGTTCGTGCTTTCCTACAATTCCCTGCTTCGTGTTCGCTCGATACATTGGCACATTTGAAATGTAGCAAAGTGTGCTTCGTGATTTCCTACAACTTGCTCTGCGCGAGCTTGGTATCACAAAACAACGATTCCCAACATCGCCGTTAACCAACATCGCCGTGAGCGCGGCCTTGGAGACAGGGGCATTCGCTGCGCGGTGCTTCACACAATCCAGGAGTTCAATGTTTTAGCGGACCCCTTGACGAACGAAGCGATCAACACTGGGTGCGGCAATGCTGGCTTGTGGCGTCTGAGTTGTTGGCTGCCAGCAAGTTCCCCAAGCAGTGCTTGCACTGAAGGGGTCCTAGCGGAAATTGAAAGATTTGGCGAAAGTGCCAGGGCGATTTCTGTAAGCGGCGGGGTTCCCAGGTTCCTGGTATCGGGTTCCCGGATTCCCAGTTGTTGGCTCCGGGTTCCGGACCGATTTCGGTGGGCGGCGGGATTCCTGGTGATCCGGGTTGCCGGGTTCTTGGTCGATCTTCTTATCGATCGTTCTCACCATCAATCTCACGAACTACCTCTCTATTGATCTCACAGTCGATCCCACTCTAGGCCGCACGAGCGATCTCACGATCGGATCGATCTCATTGAATCTATTTCACGATCGGTCTCACGATCGACCTTACTATCGTCCTTACCTTCGATCCCACCATCGGTCTCACAATCGATTTCACAGTTGATCTCAATATCCATTTCGCGAGTTTTCAACCATCCTCTGATTGATTTGTTTCCCATTGCAAGTCGTTTAGATATTTTCCTGGTGCTATCTTTGTGCCCCCCCTGGCTTCTCTCTGCGCCCTCGCTTCCCCACAGTTCCCGATGGAAACATCTTGCCCACAGGCTCCATTGTGTCATGGACGATGCTTGCTCTTGGAGGCATCGGGTCCATATAGACAATGGGGTGGCTCCACAGCGCAGGCGCACCTTGTCTTGACAGGGCAACGGCTGTGTTGGCGGCATTATTCCGGATTGACATGTCATTCCTCATTGATCGCCGTGCCTGCCTTCGACATGGCAGCGTCGTCGCAGGACTTCGGAGCTCGGAAATTTTGTTGTTACAAGGGGTGTCTTGCATTCGCCCAGAGAAAATATGAAAGAGGCCTACGGCGAATCACCGCCGCCCCCTGTCTTGTGGAAACGCCCGTGCGGCAAAATGTTGGGCCGAAGTTTGGCGGAGCTATTGGACAATGTGTCCCCGCAGCCGTTGTGGAACCCCGGGGGGAGCACTCGTAAGAGGAAGAAAAAGGAGGAGGAGAGGGAGGAAGAAGAGGAGGAGGCATCTTAAGGCGCTCTCGGGGCCTCCTGGAGGGTTCCGGGGAGCCTCTTGGGGGCCTCTGAGGGTCGTCTTTAGGGGGCCTCTTGGGAGATCTCCTGGGGCCTCTTGCGGGCCTATTGCGGTGTCACGCGGCAAACACTTACAAGGTAGCACAGCACCCTTCGAGTCACGTGAGCAACCCATGAAATCCAGCAATTGAGGCTCTGGGCCCTTTAAGAAACATGTGCTTGCACTGTTCAATACGCCGCTGCCTGCGACAAATCCCACCGTGCCAGCGCAACAGCGCAGCAGGAATGAGGTAGACTACCACCCGCTCCAGTATAATGCCGTGTTTGAGCTGGCGCGGATTTTGAACGCCCCTCCTTGTCAGCAGCCGCCTTGTCTTCTTTCATTATTCGTCCTCGCTTGTTGATTGAAGACGTATTGGAAGTTTCTGTTGGTCTTCATTGGGCCTTTTCAGTGCCACTTGACCCCTCACGGGGGCCTCTCGGGTGCCCGTCGGGGGTCTTCGGACCGCCTTGGGCGCAATCGGCCGAGCTCTCCCCAAAATGCCCTGCCGAAGCCTATTAGGGACGTCTGGGTCGGTCTTGGGGCCTTCTTCGAGCCCTCTTCAATCGTCTTGGAGTGTTCTCAAAAAGTTTCGGGGCCATCTTGGGGTTTTCGTGGGTCAGTTTCTGGCAGATTGGGAGACTTTCTGGTGCTTTCTTGATGCGACCTGAAGCCGTCTAGCCTCCAAAGGAAAATCACAGAGTTCCTCGAGGATGTTCAACGTTTTTCACTTCTGAGGGCCTCGCTGGACGCCTCTTCGGGCCTCTCCTGCACGCCTATTTGGGCATCCTGGGAGCATTTACTCAGGATTTTGGAGCTTTTTGGAGCTGGTTTGGCAGTCTTTGGATGTCCATACTGCGCACTGCAGCTATTTAGCACAAGCCGTAAGCTCGCAGTGGAGGGGCTGGCTGCATTTTTCAGAGCCCTCGGGGGACTGCACGGATGGGCCAAATGGGCTGCACGGGCAGCAGCAGATCCGCTCCAGGACACCATTCGTGGCAGACGGAGCTGGCGTTCACCGACGTGATTGCCAGTAGTGGAAGTTTGCCCCAGGGCAAGACTCCGCGCAGGGCACAGCGAACCCGCAGTGCTTACTCGGCCGAGCCGGCGCGGGGAAAGCATGGCTCTGCCGACCCCTGCCCGCGCCGGCACTCGTGCCCGGCTGTGGCGACGGAGGACGTCCGCTTCTGCGCCTGGCACCTGGAGCACGCCACGCTTCGCGGGCTGCTTCAGTCGCACTCAGGGCCTCTCTGCGTCGTTGTTGAGCCAGGAATGATGGGCCCATTTTCCACCACCACTACCACAGGTAGGAGAGAGGAGGAGGAGGAGGAGGAGGAGGAGGAGGAGGAGGAGGAGGAGGAGGAGGAGGAGGAGGAGGAGGAGGAGGAGGAGGAGGAGGAGGAGGAGGAGGAGGGAGGAGGAGGAGGAGGAGGAGGAGGAGGAGGAGGAGGAGAGGAGGAGGAGGAGGAGGAGGAGGAGGAGGAGGAGGAGGAGGAGGAGGAGGAGGAGGACCTCCTCATCCTCCCTTATCCCCTGTCCTACATATGGTAGGGGTGGTGGAAAATTTGCACATCAAGGAAGCTGCACTCCGTTCTCCATCTCGGAGGCGGGCGCGGTGTCGATGCCGAGCATCCCCGAGGAGGGGGCGCTGGCGTGGTGCGCGGACAGGAGCTTCGAGACGAGGCGGGAATGCAGGAGGGAGCTGGCCAAGATCTGGCGCCAGCACTCCCCGGGGGAGACGGTGGACCTGCCGCCTCTTGGCGACGCAATCGGCAAGGCCGAATGGCGCCAGGCGTTGCACACGGAGGCGCAGGCGCCCGAGGAGGAGGAGGAGGAGGAGGAGGCGGCGGAGGCGTGCCAGCAGGCCAGGCGGTCGACGTCGGCGTCGAGCACGGAGTCGAGCAGGCAGCGATCGCTGCTCTGCCGTGCCCGGCAGCTGCTGCCGGGAGCCACGGCCGAAGCCAGGGGCAGGAGCGCGGCCAAGCCCTGCCGCAGGCGCGTGCTGCCAGCAGAGCCCGCGGGCCAGGCGCTCGGGGAGCGCCGCGGCCCCCGCGGCACCCGGTGCAGCCAGGGCGCCCTGAGGCGCGAGGGCGCCAGGGGCGGCGGCCAGCCTGAGAGGGGCAGGAAGCCACGGTGATGGCACTTTCCTCGGGTGGACCCAAAAGGGGGTCCAGCGACAAGGGGGTGATAGATAGATGTGTGTGGGGTTGCAATACATTTGGGGCGTGCAGTACATTCCAGGGCGCAAGCGTATTGTTGGATTTTCGCGTGCGATTCATCCGCTGCAGTACAATGCAATGCAATACGATTCTCCGGCGCAGTACATTTACAATACCATTGCCCCAAATCTAATGCAACACCCCCTTGCAGCTGGACCCCCTGTTATCACCCAAATTTCCCATCGGCTGCACGCAAGAGTGGCCCTTCGCCAGAGTGACCTTCTCTGGTGCGCGCCCACGGGAGTCCCCCGATCGCCGAGCGCGGCGCGGCAGCAGCGCCTTGCGCGTTCGGCTTCGGCCCCGCCCGCGGCCCCCCGTGAAGCCGCGCACCAAGGGTCACTCCGAAGGCCAGGGCCATTCTGGCGTGCAGTCGATGATGGCACTTCCCCAGATGTCCAGGCCTTCGCGCTGAATGAAGCCGCGCGGGCTTAGGCGACGGGGGCAGCGACAGATGCTCCGGAGCAGCCTGGGTCCCAGACGGAGTCAAGCGCACGAGGATGGCCTCTCTAGTCGGCCTACGCTGGGCCCAGAGTCTCACGCTTGTGGCAAGCCGCCCCGTCCCGCGCTCGACTCCTGGGCGGGCACCAGGAGCGTCAAGCAGGCAGTGGGCGCCATCCGTCCTGCGGCGTGCTGCGGGTTTCTTTCGGATGCCGCCAGATGCCCTGGTGCATCCATGCTTGTTCTAAGTTCGAAGTTACGAGGCTCTTATTGTGAAGCCCTTTGAGGTCGTGAAGGGGCTGGAGGCTTGCACCGCTGCGAGGTCCCCCTACCTCCGCCGCTCCCCTCACCCCGTATCTGCTCCATTTCCTGCTCCTCTCGGTGGCGAGCGAGTGGGAAGTGAGAAGGAGAAGGCCTTCTCACAAAGCAGCGGAGCTTCTCTGTAGCGCTCCGGCCTTCCGAGAAGTTTCTGAGTCTTCGGGGAATGCTTCCAACACTTGTCAGTAGGCCGGGGTACTTCCGAGCCTTTTGGGAAGGCCCGCCACTTCCCACTTCCCCCCTGCCCTCGCCGCCGATCCTCTCTCGTGCTTGCCCGACGTTTCACCCGTCCGCAGCAGTGCCACCTGGCCATGTGCTGGACGGTGCCAATAGCGATGCCGTTTTTGTGGTAGGGGCTAACGTACTCATCTGTGTGGCGCAATGTATGTGGTGTAAGCTATGTGATGCCATCCATGCGTTGCGACTTAGATGGTGTAGGTTATGTGGCGCCATACATGCGGTGCACTGTATGCGGTTTACGGTATGTGGTGCAATCTTTACTAAGCTGCAAATGTGGTGCCATCGATGTGGTGCAACCTATGCGGGGCAAGCTGGGTGGTTAGTCTACGTGGTGCAACGTATGCGGTGCAATGCGTGTGGTGCAACCTACGTTTTTGCAAGCTGTGTTGCGTAGTTTATGTGGTGCAGTCCATGTAGTGCAGTCTACATCGCTTGATCTATGTGGTACAGTCTGCGGCGCAATAGTTTGTGAGCTATGTAGTGTAAGCTGGATGGCGCAATCAATGTGGTGCAACGTGCGCGGTGCAATGTGTGTGGTGCAACCCACGTTTTTGCAAGCAATGTGGCGTTCTCCGTATGGCGCAGTCAATGTAGTGCAGTCTACGTGGTTTGATCTATGGGATGCCCTCTGTGGTGCAGTCTTTGTTGTGTAAGCTATATGGTGCAAGCTAGATGGCGCAATCTGTGTGGTTCAAAAAGTGGTGCGCAGCCCATGGTGTTATCTACGTGGTGCAAGCTAGGTGATGCCATCTGTGTAGTGCACGTTTCTTTTTCCCCAAAAGACGAGTTGTCAATGTCGGTGCTCTTGCAAACATCCCACCCGCCAACCCGCAACGTGGTTTGCAAAACCCTTGCGGCGGCGTTGACCGCTGGGAACATCCCAGCGGGCACTTCAGTGCGAGTCGGTGACTTGGGCAGGCGCGGTATCATGGCGAAGCCGATAACGGTTGGCACGATTATGAAAGTAGCGATGATGTTAGCGATGGTGGCGATGACGGCGTCAAAGACAATGACGGCGCCGATGTTGATCACGCCCGCCGATGATGATGACGATGTCCTCGCGTCGGCGATGAAGGTTTTAGAAGATGTTCGACATGCGCGCGCGGCTGACGCGTGCGAGTGGCCCGCGTGGTATCATTCGACACGGATCGTGCCCCCCCCCCGCCAGAACGCGCGCAAGGGCGCCCGAATCAGTTTGGCATGCGGCACGGGCGGCCCGTTTGGCAGAATGTGATGCACATGTTTTTTGTCAACAGCAAACTATGTATTCTTTTGAAGTCGCAAGAGCGCGAGCGCAGGATTTTTGTGAAAACCCATGTTGCAAAACCGTGCGTTGTTATATGTTTGGGGGGGCGCTCGATTTTCAAATCCTTACGAAACCGATTGCTGTTTTTTCCACGGATTCCGGGATGCGCGCACGACGACGCGCAAGTGTGCTCTTATTGTTTTTGCAACGGATGCCGGCGACAGCACGCGCGCAAAGGGCGTTCGAATGATTTCGATTCGCGCGCGCGGGAGGCCACTTTGGAAGCATGTCGTGCAAATGTTGAAAACATTTTTTTTTTTTCTGAAGAGTTCGCAACAGCGCGGGCGCATTTCTGTTGGAATGTTCTTGTTGCAAACCATATTTTTGTCGTCGTGACAATCGAATCTGAAATCCTTGGGGAACCGCAGATTTTTCAATGATGTCGGCATGCGCGCGCGACGACGCTCGCGTGCGCAGTTCGTCACATTTGTTGCAAGGTTCTTCGAAAACTCGTGAGTTTTGATAAACGACAGAAGCACGCAGGTTTTTTGCACAGGATTGTGGCGGGGTCGATACTGGTTGGATTGGGATGGTACGGCCTCATATTTTGGATGGGCGACAGGGCAGAATCATTTGCAAATTGCATTATATACCAAAGATGGGGGCAGTTAAGTCTGGTGCAAACTTTGTGGTGCAACATATATGGTGCAATGAAGTTTTGTTCGCAGTGAGTTGTCCACTCCACTGCTCGCGCAAACATCCCACCCACCCACCCGCAACTTGGTTTGCAAAATCTCTTAAGACCGTGACGGTGGGTACCACATGGCACATGGCAGCAAATGCGACGCCGACGACGACAGCGACAACGACGATGACGACGCCGCCGACAACGACTACGACGACACGTCTCCAACGACTTCGACGACGCCGACAACGACGACGACGGCACCGACGACGACGACGACGACACCGACGCCGACGACGACGATGACAACGACGACGACGATGACGACGCCGACGACGACGATAACGACGACACCGACGACGACGACGACGTCAACGACGCCGACGACGACGACGACGACGACAGCGGCGACGACGACGACGCCGACGTCGACGACGACGAAGACGACAACGACGCCGACGCCGACGACGCCAACGAAGACGACGACGACGTCGCCAACGAAGACAACGAGGAAGGAGGGAGGACGACGACGGCCACAACGACTCCGACGACGAGGGAGGAGGGAGGACGGCGACGACGCGAACGACGAAGAAGGAGGAAGGACGGCGACGCCGACGACGGCAACGACGAGGGAGGAGGGAAGACGACGACAACGACGACGACGACGACGACGAGGGCGACGAAATAGGAGGGACGACGACGAGACGCCGACGACGGACGACGACGACGACGAGGGAGGAGGAGGAAGGACGACCAAGGCGACAACGACGACGGAAACAATAACGACGCCGAAGAGGACGACGATGACGAACACGAGGAAAGACAGAGGACGACGTAGGCGACGACGACGACGACGCGGGAGGAGGGAGGACGGCGACGACGACGACGACGGCGCAAGAGCGCGCGCGCAAGCTTTTGTCGAAAATCCGTGTTGCGAAACCTTGAGTTTTTGTAGGTTTTTTGGACGCGCGATTTCGGAATCCGTCCGAAACCGGTGGGTTTTGAAGGATTTCGGCGTACGCGCGCGACGACGCGCGCGTCTGCACTTCGTCTCATTTTTTGCACAAGGATTCTCGCGACGGCACACGCGCAAGGGCGTTCGACAGATTTTGACATGCGCGCGCGCGACGCCCGTTTAATAGCATTTTGTGAAAATCTTGAAAAACCTATGGTTCTCTTAAGATTTCGTAAGAGCTCGCGCGGAAGCTCTTTTAGCAAATCAATGTTGCGAAACCCTGTGTTGTTGTATGTTTTGTGGGAACTCGATTGCGAAATCCTTCCGGCACCGAAGGTTTTTGAAGGATTTCGGCATGCGCGCGCGACGACGCGCGCGCGTGCACTTCGTCAAAGTTGTTGCAAGGGATTTGCGAAACAAGTGCTATGTTAGAGCAACAAATGTCACCGCATAGTGTTTTTTTCACAAGGGAGCCTCAGGGAGGGGATACCGGCTTGGTTGGGATGCTACGATTTCATATTTAGGATGGACGAGTGGGCAGAATATATATATATATATATATATATATATGAAATTATATTACCCCAAGGGGAAGCGTTAAGTCCGGGGGGGGGGGTCGAGTCTACTCCTTTTTTAGAAAGGAGAATCCACTCTGCTGAACTTGAAGTCCTCACCTCCACTGCTCGCGCAAACATCCCACCCACCCACCCGCAATTTGGTTTGCAAAACCTCTTAAGACCGACTACGACGACAACGACGACGACGACACCGACGACGTCTCCGACGACTTCGACGACGACACCGACACCGACGCCGACGAAGACGACGACGACGCCAACGAAGACGACGACGAGGGAGGAGGAAGGACGACGACGGTGACAACGACGACAACGACGACAACGACGAGGGAGGAGGGAGGACGGCGACGACGAGAACGACGAAGAAGGAGGAAGGACGGCGACGCCGACGACGACAACGACGAGGGAGGAGGGAAGCCGACGACGACAACGACGACGACGACGACGGCGACGAAATA